TTATACATGAATAATGTTCTTTCACTTTTCTACTTACATGGGTAATTTTATGCTACCTTTGTCTTATACTCTTTAGGCTTATGAATCTCAGAGGCAAAAGTTTTACTTTTTAATAGTAATTTTAATTTTTTTGTTTATCATACAAAGATAAATTGGAGGAAGTTTTAATATTTTATTCTATTATGTTTGCAATTTATTTTCATTAATATCTTCTTGGTCTTCATTTATTTAAAGTTTTATTGTACAGCTTTTTGTAATGCATAGTTTGTAATTACAAGGAGTGGGAGAAATAAAAAACAAACAAACTGCATTTTGTTTACAATAATAAACATGTCAATTAGCCTTTTATATTTCTAGTAGAACTGGGACACCACTTTGTGACCCTGCCTTCTACTCTCAATTTTCATGCTTAAATTTCAACTGGAGTGAATTCTTTTTCATACAGGGGTAGGTATTTTGAATTAACTAGATTATTATCAACAGAAAATTATTCTAATTGTAGGTTTGTTTGTAAGATGCAGTATACAAATAGATTTCAATATGTTCACTTTATACTATGTGGTTAATGCATTTTTCATGTTAAAATTTATAATTTTTGATATTTCCCAAGAATGAGTCTATTGCTAACATCATTATTGTAAGATGTTATGGTAAACCTACCTTACCTCAATTTAGGAGTGCAGAAAACTACATCATAGATGTTGTAAGAATAAGTTGCATATAAATTTCCTTACTGAATGTAAACAGTTAAATATATAACCAAAATTTTGAGCTTTAAAGTTTATATTTTCCAATTATATCACTCTACACAGTATTATAAAATTCAAAGACAATCAGTGAATTTAGAAGTTGTACAAAAGAATTGTATGTTTAAATCTTTAATTCATCAATCTACACAGGCCTTGAGATTTATTAAAATAGGTTAATATCATAGATTTTATACATCTTAATATTTTTATAGAAATACAAAACAAGTTTCTTGTACAATTTAAGAAAAAATTCTGATTATTTTATATATTTAATATGATATCAAGCTAGACTTGTTTATAGAATAACCATATGTTGTAATTTTTAACTGTTATAGTTATGTTATGAGTGAGATAAAAAAAAACATTTCTTGGTTAAAAATTCAGTATATGTAGTTAAGTTTAAATTTGAAGATTACTTTTTACACTTTGAGTAGTTTTTAGCTAAACAAACAATCTGGTCTACAACTGGAGAATCTTTCAGTAATATTAGAACATAAAATAATAGAATAGCTTTAACTTATTTCAATAGCTATACCTCTCTTTACTATTTATAAGTATGAGTAAGGAAGATTTTTCAGCTTTAAATACATTGGTGAAAATTACAACATATTTATAAATAAATTGGATAATGAAACAGGACAGTTATTCTGGGTAAAATGCAATATTTAAATAAAGTTAATATCTTTGAGTGATTGAACTAAATTTGTGAAGCTTGATAAAGATCTTGCTAACACTACAGAAATAAAATGCAAAGATATCTAATCAAATTAAGAATAGATAACTTGCTAACTGAGGCATAATATTCAGAGGTTAGACCATCAAGGAGTCATCCAGCAATTTTCTATGACCTTCTTAAAAATACATGAAGGACCTATATTTAAATATTGGAACTTGTAATCATGATTTAGCAGGTTTTCTAGTTGAGTTTTTTAAAATACTTCTACTATTGAATGTTCTTTGAAAGACAGATTTGAATTTTCTAATAAAATTCAAAATATAAATTTGATAGTAAGGTTTATTGTGTTAGTTTTAACACTGATGTTTGTATACCATCATTTCTTTAGAAGAAACAATGCAGTTATGTGTACACTTAATTTTCAATGATAATTCAAATTACTTATACATTCCACATTATGTATTTTTGGAGTTAAAAAATTTTACTTTAATGGCTCATTGTCCAGCTAATTTTTTTCCATGTTTTTCATGAAAAAACATTGTTTGATGATTGTCCACAGCCTTTTAAGCTATTATATTACTAGGTGGAGTACCCATCCCATGGACATAACTTATGTAAATTCATGATTAATGAAAGGTTATCTTAGGAGATGAAAAGATGTAATTGTAAAAACACAAAATTTAAAACTGCAAATTTGTATGTATCTCCCCATGGAACAAACAAACTTTCATACTAAATTTGGTGCAGATCCACCAAAAGGGGGAGAAGTAGTGGTAAAAATCGCAAAAATGTCCATAAAAACTGCAAAATGCAAAATTCAAGACAGAAAAGTTGTATGTATCTCCACATGGACCCAATGAACCTCCATACCAAATATGGTGAAAATCCATCTACAGGGAGCAAAGTAATGGTAAAAAACGTGAGAACACAAAACTGAAAATTTGTATGTATCTCTACATGGATCCAATTAACTTCCATACTAAATTTGGTGAAGATCCCTTGACAGGGGGTGAAGTGGTAAAAACTTTTGGTGAAGATCTATCCACACCCTGTGAAGTAGTTACATAGACATACAATAGACAATACTGTTATATTTATATAGACTGGAGATATTTTGTTTATTTGTTTATTTTATAGCAAAGCCACAGTGGGATATCTGCTGTGTCCACTGGATTTTAGTGCTGCAAGTCCATAGACTTACTGTTGTCCTACCAGCGGATGTATATGGATAATACTTTTACTATTTCCAAGGGGCAACATTATGTTCCTTAATTTTTGGAGCATGTAAATAGCAAGCATAACAGTACTAAATTTACTGTTGAACATCAGCAAGATCATAAATTTGTAATTTTGGTTACATTAGTGCATAATTACGATGGTAAGCTTGAAAATAAACTTTTCAACAACAGAAACTCTAAGCAAATAATCGTGATCTATTCAATCAAAACTCTAATAGACTATCAACATATGAAGTTCCTAAATTTCCACTTTCTACAGCTTTCTCGGCAGAGCCGTGTATGTTACACGACCCTGTCTGGGGAATAATACGAGTGCAACAATACATACTGTAACTCTGATATTTCTTAACGTATCCTTGCAAAAACTGGTAAGATTTTGTTAAAGATTATAAGTATCTTGTACACAAAGAATTTTGTTATTTTAATTAAGTATTTCATCTAAAAATTTGTTATTTGCACTCAATCTCTTAAAAGTTTGTGTGCAAAGTGATGGCCATTATAACTATAAAAATAGTTTTCTTCATCTTACAGTTTTCAAGTTTTATTTGCATAACCTCTAGAACCTCCTAAATGAGTATAAAAAGTTTTAAGGTAAATGTTCAGATTTTATTTTTCGTCTTCACTACCATGTCACTAACTGTACATAATATAATCAACATACAGTGCAATGAAATGTTTAAAATTCAGAAATAGAAAAATGTACATACCTTTTAATTTTTTGTAGAATATCTTAAAAGATCTTCTTTTGGTTATATTCATAATTTCATGTCTTTTCGTTTTCACATATAGTTAATTTTTTATGTTTTACTTTACTTTCCTATCCTGGCAAAATTTATACTTGTGTCCCCTAGTTGTACAATTCTCACCACTAAATACAAAAAAAAAGATGATGCATCAACACTACAAATTCCACCAAAAATCTTAAATGCCTCAATTAGATCCCCTCTAACTCCAAGAAAAAACTATTTCAAAGATTTTAATCTGTCCTCATATGACAAATTTTCCATCCAAGTATCCTCTTAGCAGTCCTTCCCTGAACTCATTCCAACAATTCAATGATCTTTCTAAGGGAAGCCCAAAAGTGAACACAGTATTCCAAGTGTGGCCTAACTAATGACCCATGCAATGACATCATAACCTATTTATACTTATATTCAGTATTTCTGTAGATACAACTAAAAATCCTGTTTGCCCTGCCACTAGAAACAGCGCATTGCTTGGATGGATTAAGAGACTGGTCAACACTTCTAAAGTTATTCCTATAATTCAAATTGTGATATACCAAATGCATTACTCTGCCTTTATTACAATTAAAAGCCATCTGCCATTTATTTACCCAACTCACCAAATCATTCTGTAAAGCATCAACATCCTCCTCACAGCCAGCAACACCCAAAACTTTAATATTATCAGAAAATGTAAATAATTTATTGACCATTCCTTTTATCTATGTCAATGATGTAAATCAAAATATCAAAGGTTCTAACGTTAAATCTTGAGGTACCCCACTTGTGACATTAATCCAGTTTCACTGAAATCCATTTATAACAACTATCTACTTTCTTGCATCCAGCCAGTATTCCATCAATTGAGACAACCTACCCCTCCAAAGCTATAAAGACACCTTTTTAAAGAGTCCTTTATGTGGCACCTTATCAAATGCTTTCTGAAAATCCAAATACACCACATTCACACCCATACCCTCCATCTACATAAGCAGTAACCTCTTTAAAGATTGTCAAAAGATTATTAAGGCAAGACTTTCCCCTAGTGAAACCATGCTGACCATCCAATAAAATTTGAAACTTTGAAAAGCATCTTTTATCAGATTTTCAGTAGCTTTTTATACTACTAATGTAAGTTACTAGGCCTATAATTACTGGGACATTTTTTATCATCTCCCTTGAAAAGAAGAGTAACATTAGCCAACTTCCAATCTTTTTTCATTGAAACCGTCAAATATAGTTTATCAATTTACTTGTCCTTATAGCAAGTAAGATTATGTCACTTCTAAAATAAGAAAGCTGTTGATGCAAGTGAAAGAACATGCAAACTTAAAAACAGAAAATAAATCAAGTATACTGAAACACATCATAGGTTAGTGTGACATAATCATCCATTCAAATTATTTTAATATCTAAGCAAGAGCTAATGATGATCAAAACATCTGTATGAAAGAAAGTTTGCTCATTCATAAACTGAGGCCAAAACTGAATTAGTTTAGTTCAGCTATCAATCTGTTATCTTACAAGACCAGAACTCATTAAAAAAACCATGTAACACCATATGAGAGAAGTACACATCTACAATATTCAGCTTATAAGCTACTGAACTTACTAAATCAAAGTAGGATAATGCTACAACAGCTACATCAGCCAATGGAGTATGAAGTGGTCCAACACACTGTTGTTGAGCTACCAATCCAGTCACACTTCGATCAACCTAAATTAAAAAAAAATCATCAAGACTTAATTTCATGAATGTCATGCACCTCTAGTGTGGCATTATAAATTTCTTTAAATTTAGTGAATTTTGACTCACAGAATATAATTTACTTTCCAATGTTTACTGTGTAACTAAAGGATCTAGAGAAAGGCTGTACCTTGTTTGTTAGGTATCTCTTACTGGCCACAGAAGGGAGCCGTAAAACCCGTTCCAGACCTAGTCGGACAGTTAGGTTCTCAGGTAAAGTAAGTGGATGACAGAGTAGTGTCATTTTTTTATCATGGTACACCTAAAGTATATAATGATTCAAAATAAATTAACCATCCACAATAAACTCACAACTATAACTGTTTTATGTAACTAATATTAGCTATTGCCATTAAAAACTAAACTTTATATAAAATAGTTCAATAATTTTTCTTTATTTTAAAAAATAAGCTATCTAAAAACATAAGTTTCAACTGTATATGTTTTTTGTAACTATAAAGATCTTCAAAATTATTTTAATAAAAGTGAAATTCATAAATTAGAAAAATTAAAAAGTATAACCTTGTGTGTACTACATGCAAATTTGAACAGAAAATAAAACTTTATTCATTACATGTTGCACATTATTTCTTGGATATATAAAAACATTAAAATGAAGTTGTAAATTACATGAATTCTGTAGCTATTCAAAGCAAATGCACTTTATTGTGTACATTTAATTTGGAATTAATTACATATTTGCATATATGTGTAATATGCAGTAATTAATACTGAATGCAATATTTTTTTTAACATAGAAATAAACATGGAATAATGTACTTCCAGGTTTTCTGCAAAGTGTTATGACTTAAGTATATAATTCAATAACAAACCTTTCTTGGCATCTTCCCCAACACTAACTCTAAATCCAAATCAACTGGTTGCCTTCCTACTTTATTATCACAAGATGTTTCAGACAAAACAATTCGACCATCTCCTGTGACTTCTCCTACAAAGCTCACAGGGCATTTTTCTCGACATCCAATCTTCACTAGTATCTTTTGTTCTCTGTTATTTATTAAAATAGCATCACTCTCCTGATATTCTGCTCCCCATAGTTCCAAAGTGTTTATCGTGGGATCACCAAGCTGAAACTGTGACACATGGATAATAGCACCAGCTGGTTCCACAATTTCTTTCAAAACATTTCCTACAAAAAATGTTCTAGTAAAAATTCTACTAAGTGCTGAAGTCCACTAGATGACTAGAATAAAATTCAATACTTAGTTTTGCCATCTGAAGCTAAACACTTCCTATACGTTGATATTGATATACAATAGAATGTTAAATAATGAATGTGTAAGCTATTTCTTTGTGATTGTGCTGAAAGATATTTCATTGCTTTACAATTTAAACACTCAGATATAATTATTGCAATTAAATGTTACACATCTGGTTAATTAACATGATGTAGTATTAACTCTCTTGATACAGGCCCAGTCAAATTGACCTTTCCAGTTTTCATACCAAAACTCCTAATATATTTTGTGTAACTTCACAAAATTTTACAAGCTATTAATAATCACTATAAGTCATTTGTAGGCAAAAAATTCAGAATTTTTAATCAAGTATTTTCCCTAAAAAGTTCTCCAGGAGTATATGGAGTCAAAGTATTGACTACTCTGAGTGGAAAGTGATTTCCATGTTAAGATTAGAAATACTTTTCTTCATCTAAAAAATCTCAGATTTCATTTGCATAACCTCTAAAACCTCTTCAATAAATTACAAACGTTTTTGTTTTTTTTTCAGTGAAACTTAATATTTCACCAGTTATTTTCTCTACCCTAACTTTATACGAGGTTGCTCAATTTGACCAACCTTGTAACTCCTCAAAAAAAAAGAAAAAATTAAAATTACTCTTTTTCTTTCTAGAATGACTTCAAGTTGTAACATGAACCTACATCTGTTTATCCTAAATAGCTTTAAACTCATAACAGTATACGTCTGTTTGTATTTAAATTTTATTGTTTTCTTGCTCTTTGAACCATGTCTAAATAATATTCACACCATATAAGTTGTAAATCACTTGGCAAACTTGTAGTTCATGTCACACTATCGAGTTACATAATGCATAAGCTACTCAGGGGCGTAACTAATGAAAAATATTTATTATTATTATTAATTATTTTACCTAATCTAACCTAAAAAGTTTCCAATTTTTATATTTCAGTTACCTTTATAATTATAAATAAAGAATACACATGAAAAACAAGAAATAAAGTACTTACCTGGGTCTTCTTTTTTGCTGTCAACTATCGATGACACTTAACCCTACTTTCTTACACTAATGGTAGTACTGCACTAAATACTTTTTTTTATTTAATTAAATAATGCACCAAAGAACACAGAATAATAATGTGCAAAAAACAGACAATGTCCCATAACTATCACAATTTTTCTGGCTTTCAAATTATGTGACAAGAGCCATTAAAACTTCACCTAAGCTCGTCAATGTGTTTCGCATGGGAATTAAGGTTGAATTGAATGCAAAATTAATATTTCTCTTTACAGAAAAAAATGAAATACAATATATCATCTGATAGATGAAAACCTTGGCTTTCTATTGGTTATAAGTAAAATAGTATTAAATGTCAGAGAACTATAGGCAATTTCTGACAGAGGGGATGTGACAAGTGAGTGTGGCAAGAGGGGTGTGATTTTCTAGTTTATGGCTCTTTAAGTAAATAAGGGTGAAGGCTATAAAAATTATGCTTTGCCTGAACAATGATGACATTATAATGAGTAATTTATGCTAAACTTCATACTTCTTAGAAGAGTGGTAAATAAATTAGAGAAAAGGGGATGCCTATGGAGAAAATGTCACAATTCTCATACTAAGGGAAATTCAGGATTTTTTAAAAATATTTCCTTATAAAATTAAAAACTTATATACTATTAACATTTAGATTATTAGCTACATTTTTATGCCAAAGTTATTCATATACCATGATAAGAAAACTGTTTAACTAAATTTTGAATGCAACTCACTAAAACCTCATGACATGTACAGAACAAGATGCCCATAGTGAAACTGTTAAATGATTAACATGTATAGTTACAATGGGTATTCAGAAGAAAAAAAAAGGGTTTTTCTTTTTTATACACTGGTTATGATTCAACTGCAGCCAATATCTATACACTGCTAAAAGAATCATATGTTTTTACATAACAAGTGCATACACCACTTATATAAAGGACAGAGTGAAAATTTTGATGTAGTCATTAAAGTCTGTATTCCAAAACACTATATCTTGTATCTTATCCAATGGAGAACATCTTATGTAGTAGTAGTAGCTTTTAATGGAGATTAAAGAATAAACAATCAATTAAGTTAACAAAGTTATATGGTTTTTCCAACAAGCTCCATACTTTAATTTTTTTGGAATTTTAAGTTCTGTACATTACTTGTGATATAAACTACTTCTAAATAACAGGATCACTCACTGAACAATGTCTACATAATGCATATAAGGTAACCAGGAAATAATTCTTCAAACTAACCATTTCCTCCAGCACCTTGATCGTGAATGCTAAGTATAGGGTTTTTCTCATGTCTTTCAATGCATGCTCTGATGACACGATTTAATTTCTGTTCCATCTCTGCATCTCCTCGCTGCACAGCACCAAAGTCCAGTTCTGCTTTTTGATCTCCTTGAACATGGATGGAAGATGCTGCACCACCACCAACACCAATCCTATAAACTGGACCACCAATTTTGACCACAGTCATACCTAAAACAGCCACCATACAGAACAATAAAAAAGTTGTAAAATTTCCTAAAAATTATATTGATACTTGCTTATGAATAAATAACCTGTAAATAACCCTCAAGTGTTTTACTAAAACTCACAGTTAAAAAAATTAAAATGAATGCAATTATATGCCAACATTACAAAACTATTTCAACATTAATCAACAGCACATTAAAGGTTTATCATGTTTTTTAATGATGCTTAAATTTCATAGATTAAATTTTTGAAGAAAACACGAAAATAACCTATCAGTGGTATTAGTTATGTAATACCACAAAGTCTGAATAAAACTGTGTAACTACAGGGACACAAGTGCAGCCTTGATTACATTTTATTTGTACTGTATAATATTCACATGTAGAAGTTTCAGTACAAACATTCTACACTTATCAATAATCTTCAAGTGAAATAAAATGGGATACCACTAAACTCAAGCATAACCACACCTACATATACAAAGTATTTTTATAATTATTTTCATTTCTCTCACAGTTGGTACCACAATTCCAAAAGATTTTTCAAGATTTAAATTTCTTCCTCAAGGCAAAAAACAACAACATGGCTACTTTCTAACGTTTGATTGCTTTGTTAATAACTTAAATGCCATATTTTGAAATGGTGCCAAAGTTTTTGACACCTCTACAAACGTTAGCCCGAGTTTCCCCAAATGCTCACAGATACATACAAACAAACACAAAAATTACTGTACAGCAAAAGTTAGTTTATTATGATTTAAACATATCTCATTATCCAGTCAAAACACAATTAAAGAACAAAACAGGATATGTTTTATCTGTATATCTGAAAAGACAGTTTCAACTTTTGGGGAAAATAATTCCTTTTTTTTTCTAAACATCAGACCCACCCTATGCCTCCCAGATGTCATTATTATCACGTTTTTGGTGCCATTAAGAATTTACCCTTCCCTTAAATTTAAAGAAATTACAGAAGAGTTTATTGTAATCTTTTGTACATTACCATTCCAATGGTTAGAACTTGAAGCAGCAGCAATGAAATCATTAATAACATAAAAATACAAAAGCATCACCATGGATATAATATAGAGAAAACAATACATCAAGAAATTTGCAATACGGTCTAGTGCTATGAAGGTGGATCATTCCTTATAAAACAAAGATCTGATATAATCTCAAAAGCAATTGCAATTGAAAAACATGACAATAAATTGCTAAGTTTTGACAATGGTTTACAGGTGAATTGCAACAACAGCATGTAAAAATTGGACAATGCTTGAAATTGCTTTACTTCCAACATAAAAGACAAAAGTTAATATTTTCCTTATCTGAAAATGTATTTCTGATAGATACTCACCTCTGTGCACAGATTAGCTATTTTCCTCTCGAATGTCAAGCTCTACTGCCTTAGAGACATGCATACCACCAGCCTTGTGAAACTCACATCTTAAATTCATGTGAAATTGTGCTACTGCAATATATCAATATATCATGTAGCAAAACCCTCCAACAGTAGGAGTGCAACACATCTCTCTGTGCAAATGCTCCCTCTGTATTCACAGGTGACAATCCTCATCATTTAACAAGGAAAGTGAGAAGGAAGGGTGGAAATATGCATGGAGGTAAATCATCATATCAGAAGTTAACATTTTACTTAAAAATGTATTTCCAACAGATATTCATCTAGAATCCCACATTGAAATGGTGGAGGGACAAGTGTAGAAATTATCTAGATGAGCCTCCTTTCAAGAGCACTAAAAGAAAGCCCATTGGGTGTGACACCCTATGGCAGAGGCTCCATAGGAGAACATTCATGGGAGACCACATCTCATCTCAATCAGGGTATCCTCTTAGCTTGAGTGAAGGATAGAGAGAAGCAAGAATCCTGAAAGGTGTTGCAAGAATGGGCAAAATAGGTATATGAACATACAAGAGCTTGCACATAAGCTGTAAGAAGGCCAATATATGTAGTAACATTGAGGCATGTTCAGACTGTACTAACTGTGCTCTTCTCCTTAACCATCAGTCTCTATAAGTGAATACCAGCTGTTTTTTGAGAAGGGCACATGTGAAAAGCATCTGTGCACAACTCCTCAAGTGTCAGACACTGAGGACCCATGTCAGTTGTGGGAGGAGGGCACTGCAGTGTACACAATTTTAAGAATACTTATGAAATCACCTCTCAATCATCAGACTCCATGGGCCTATTGCCAGCTGTGAGACTAGGGTTAATGAGTAATACATCACAGTTGTATATAAAGAAATATAAATTACTCTGCAAGCATAATTTGTGTGATCCTGTCCTTGCAGGAGTAAGTGAAGGAGAACAGAGAGTAGGCGAGATGTGTCCAAAATCCACTTGAAGATTGTGAAGTATCTAGACAGATTGGGGGTGGTCCATAATACACTCTGGAAATACCCCTGCCCCACTTCTCAGCATAGAGGGACTCTGTTTTAAGACCTACTTTCAGGTCCCAATTGGTGACGATTCTCCGTAGTCCACCACCCCAGCAACTGGAAGCTGGTATGTGGCAAGGGTCTCCCATGCTCTACTTGAAGGGAGGAAAATTTGCACAGTAGACCAGGAGAATGTGCCTGGATCCCCATCAGTCCTTCAGTCTAGAAAGGCCATTTACTGGGTAACCATGAAAACCTATTTTTAAAAGCCAGCAAGTGCTAGCTAGGGAAGCAGGCAGAAGCACAACTCTGGTGCTGGCTTTTTCCATAACAGTCCATGGAATGGGTACAGTCTGGATCAGACTGGAAAAAGTTATATATATATATAAATACTACAAGTAGAATTCGAGCAATCTTTCATCATAGCCCATTTCACAGTGTGCACTTACTGAGCCAGAGCGGATGATGTAAGTGTTTTCCATTATCCTGGTCTGATGCAGAAGTATACCCTGTAAGGCAACTCTAGCCACTTAGTGGGATCCAAAAGTAGAAGAACGGTGAGGAAGGAATAAGTAAATGAATACTTACACCCATTACAGGTACAGGGTTAACTGAAGAATGGCCGTTGATGGAAGTCTGTATGCTGATGGAGATGAGACAGCCAGATGGTGGAGATAGTTTAATGTAATACGAATGATTATGGAGTAGTCCACGTGCCAGCCCAGAGAAAAGAAGGGAAAAGATGAATAGAGGTGACTTTAAAAAGCATACAAATATCTGCCTTTAAAGGGGAATAAAAGAGATGTATGAGCCAATAGGTCCAATCTGAAATAGAGTAAGGAGAGATGCCCCCCATAGGGGAAGTGTCTGATTTATGAAATTACAGTGAGATGAACCACAAGAAGGAAGTGTGTGACAAAACAGTGAGCAGCCCAGACTGGAAAAGGTCTGTCCAGAATAAAAAATAATATCAAAAAGACAATTTGAAGGAGTGAATATGCAAGAAAAGGGGTGACCACTTTCCACTGTCATGGAATATGAGTGAGGGAAAGACCAGCCTGGATAAAGAATAAGAGAAGAGCAGTAATGAGGAAGTAGGAAACAAGGGTGTAGAAATGTGCACAATGGCTATCAACAGCAAGTAGGAATAGGACTCATGCATGGAGAAAGAAGAAACATCTGCTAGAGGTTTGATACAGACCAAAATAAGAGCATGGACAACCATAATGGTAATCCAATTAGGCAAGAAGTAGAAAGGGGGGCAGTGGATAAGGAAGGAATGAAAGAGGGTAGAAAAAAGGCAGAGACAAAAGGAAACTGTGACATTGGAAAAAGTGGATGGTGAAGGAAATGCTGCACTAAAACCCGAGACAGAAGAAACTTAAGGAGGAATATTTTACAATGTAATGAAGTCAAAGGGAAATGGTAACAACAAGACCAAGGTGACAAGTACATCTGTAGAAGGGTGGCAGGAGTAGGAAAAAGGGACAGTTATATGATCAGGGAAGTGGACTGGACAATTCCACATGCAATGATAAAGGAATGTCATATCCTGAGAAAAAAGCAATGTGTGAGTGTGGATCAGAATGGATGAAAAGCTGGGAAGGGGAAGTCATGGATGAGACTCGAGGAAGTGGAGTAAAAGAAACAAGGTTGGGATAGCCTGTGAGGGGCCATCAAATGGACTCTTTAAGGGGTATCCCAAAACTAAGCAAACATCGGAGGGAGGAGATTAAGAGGTCATGCATAAAATAAAGAATTGGACCAGACCAGAATGAGGGCATAGACAGCCAGGACTGAGGAATGAGGCACAATAGACCACAATAGAGGAAGTTAGCAAAGAGAGGTGTGGTAAGGCATCAAGAGGAGGAGGAATGATGAGAAAGCAGAATAACAAAAGCAAGTGGATGAGGAAACAATCTGTGGGTAGGATGCAGTCATGTTGAGAAGACAGTCCACAACAATGTGCAATGCCCCCAGAACATGACAGTTTATGAACATATTTGAATAGAACTATATATGAGCACTATCTCCTATAGGTACATGTTAAGGAGTAAAGAAAGAAGATGGACAATTATCTACTAAGATACATGTAATGGAGTAAGTAGCCACCTCTAAACACTGACTATAGGCAATGTGGTATGGAGTAAACAATTATGTCTAAACCATATCTTCTAATTGTACATGAAATAGTAATTAACCAGATCTAATCACTATAGTCTGTGTGGGCATGTGAAGGAGTAAAGAATTTGGACAAAACATTACCTACAATGTGTACATACTAAGAAGGAATGTACTATGACTAAATATTATCATTGATGAATGATGTTTTACAGATAAACGATGATGTCTAAACCCTATCCTCTAATGCTATGTAAAGAAGTAAATAACCAGATCTAATCATTATAGACTATGTGTAGATGTTAAGGAGCAATGAATGAGAGCAAAACATTATCTACTACGTGTAAATGTTAAGAAGTAACGAACTATAACAAAATATTGTCTACTTGTTACTTGTCAAGGAGTAATAGACAAGAATTAAACATTATCCTCCATGGGTAAACATTAAGCAGTAAAAAACATTAATCATTAAGTGGACATGTCAAG